GTGAGGGTCCCCTCCCGTCCCGGCAGGTCCCTCCTGGTCCCCAGACCGGGTCCCCAGGCCGGGCCTGGCTGCGAACGTGTCCCGGGGATGCAGGACGCGTGTGGGGCCGGGATGTATCCCCAGCAGAGCCCCCATCCCCGGTGGCACCGGAGCCGCCCGACGTTCCCTCCCTCCCTCAGCCCAGTGTGGAACAAGGTGCTCACGGCTCCAAGATTGGGTTTTCCGTCCCTTCTATACACACAGGACGCTGGGCCTGGCTGTGGGAACGTTCAGCCTCTCTAGCAGCAGTAATAAATCATGAGAAACGTATTAATGCTCTTCCGTTTGTGCCTTGTCATCTTAAGATCTCAAGAGCCTGTCTGAAACCTTCAATTAAGCTTCCTGTTGTTGAAAATTCGCGGGGGAGGAAACTGAGGCACAGGTGAGAATTATCCGCAGCGCTCTGCTGCTATTAAACTGCTTGAGTCACCTTGTTTGGGGCTGGGCAATGCAGGAGACCTTGGGTCTCGTTGCTGGATTGCCCCCAAGGTAATGGGGAGAGGAGGATGTCTGCGTTTTTTGAAAACACACCGTAAGCCGACACAGAGGTAGGCAACTATCAGGTTGAGGTTGAAGAGGAACCCCCTCCTTCCTTGAGTTGTCCTCGTCATGGGGTTGTAGGCTGAAAAAGTTTAGCTGGACGTCGTGTCGCCCCGGCTGCCGCTGGAGATGGGACTGTCACCACCACACGGTCAGGACAAGCTGCAGCCCTGCCTGGCCGAGGCTTCCGAAGCTCCCGAGGATGAAGATCTCACAGCCTCTCTGGGTACTGGGGCCAACGTTGCTGCACCTTCCTGGTGAAGAAGCTCTTCCCAATGTCCAGTATGAACTTGCCCAGCTACAACTTGCTGCTGCTGCCCCTTGTTCTACCCGCCGGGTTCCTGAGAAGGTTTTGGGGTGCCTGTCAGCGCGAAGGTCGATACGTTGGGGCAGGCTCTGCAGAGCTGAGCCGGCCCGTGGGCTTTGCCATTCCTTGCAGAGCAAGTTTCACAAATCACTTGCTGACAACCCTTCCCATCTGCACTGCTCCACTTTCTTGTGTTCCTCCCTTCTGGTCGACCACTTCCCCTTGCTGGGAGCGGTGCTTTGGGTGATGTTGGAGACGAAGTTTCAGCTGGTAACGTCAACTGAAAAGGTTCCTACCTCCTCCTCCTCCTCCCTCTCCAGCTTCCTCCCAGCTGCAGCATCTGCTAATGTTCTTCCCAGCAGCCTTATCCGAGGCCACTGTCTGAATACGTCCCCGTGCTATCCCATGGCTCTGGTTGTTTGCAAAAAACCACAGCAAGAGGCAGCACAAGAAAGCAGCTCCTCCCTGGATCTTCTCCTGTGCTATCAGCTCTTAGGCCCTTTCCTCACTTCTTGCACGGATGTTTTCCCAAAGCCATGGCCTTGGCGCTGCAGCCTTTGGAAAACAGCTCTCCAGTCGGATACCAGCAGCTCCAGCCTGGCTCTTGCCTCCCTGCGTTATCCGGGGCTGCCGCAGCTCTCTGCTGCCCTCCCCTGCGCCAGCAGAACCGGGAGCCGGCGCCTCCGGCCGCCTTCCTCGCCCGGAGGGAACCCCAGGCGCCGCTTCCCTTCCCGTAGCCCGTCCTGGCATCCGGGCGAGCGGCAGCGGCCCGGGCAGGGCCCCGGCCTCAGCCCCAGCTGCAGGAAGCAGCCTGGTCGCTCTTGGCCGCGATCCCGGCATTCCAGGTCCCCTGGAACTGCTTCCCGGCCCCTCGGCCCCTGTTCCGCTGCCTCGACGCCTGCGCTGCCGCTCGCTCCCCGCGGACATGGCGGGGGCAGATTAACATGGCCGGTATTTCCTAGGCAGGAGGGGGGATGTTTTCTGGCCCTCTTAAGAGAATCCTCTTTATCTCAGGTCGTTGCTGAGACCCTGCTCTTCCTTCCCCCAAACCAGAAGTATATTCTGGGTATTTCACTGATTTTAACAGTTCCGGTCGAGGGAGTCCTGGCTCCCAGAGCTCCTCCTGCACGCCCATGAGTTAAGTCGTACAATGCACCACGTGCTAGAAAAGAAACGTGGTGGCGGCCCCAGCGGAACCTCTTGTTGGGACGTTCCTCGTGATTTTATGGCACCAAACCCTTGCTTTTTCTTCCAGAATTCCATGTGACCCCAGCAGCGGGTATAAAGCAGCGCTGGGAGGGTGGTGTGAGGACTGTGAATCATCGTGACTGTAATGGGAAGCGGGTCCCAGGATAAATCCGGCTCCTTCATCCAGGACTTTCTTGTTTTAATGACGTTCCTCACCTGTGAGCCCGGGTTTTCCATTTTCCTACTCCTTGGCGCCAAACCTTCCCTCTGAGCATTCCCGCAGCACACGGGACAGCCGGAGTTTTGCCCACTAACAGTGCGAATTCCGCCTTGCTTTGAGCGCTCGCGACCCGGCGGGATCGCGGAGCTGGAGCAGAGGGGGGATATTGTTTCCCCCCAGCGTGGGGCACTTCCCACAGAGAAGGGCTGCGTTTTCCCCGTAGCTCTGGGGAAGAGAAAAGCCCCGAAGGGAGCAAGGGAGGAAGGCGGCGGCCGAGGCTGCTCCGGGTCCCGGAGCTCCC